TTTTTCTTTGCTTTATAGTCAGTTATTATAAAGCATCTAAAACAAGTTACAATTGGCAAAGGAACAAAAAAGGGCAATAGAAGTGTCTGTGACTGTTAGAAGTGGTAAAAATAAATATGAAGATAGGTTTATTACTTAATGGGAAGGAAAGTAAATAACACATACACATAGAAGGGCTGATGTATTCACACCTCATTTGCTCCACTCTTTACTGAAAGCATTCATTGAGTCTATTTTTTTTTTTAAATAAATTGGAGTATTTTGATAGAACATAGGCCACCATAATAGAGAAAGAATTTAAAGATTTATCTCATGCCTCTACATCCTCATGAAAGTTGATCAAAAGGATTTAAGGGACTACCTGAAGTAAAATGTGAGCTATCGTGTTGATTGTGAGGTTCTAGAAAAAGATCTCTATTTAAAGAGTGGAAAATGGGAGACTGAGGATTATAAAAACATCAATCTGTTTCTGATACTTTGAACAAATTATTAACTAACAAATTCAACAATCATTCCTCAATGTTTATAAAGTGATAATCAACATAGATTTTTTTTTTCAATGAGAATCTGTCAAATAAATTTATTTTCTTTTGACCTATTTTCAAAGAGAAGCAGGTAATGAGGATGCAGTAATTGTTGAAATGCCTTGATTTTAGTGGACTTTCACATTGTTTCTCTTGGTGTTCTCATAAGTAAAAGAGGAATATAGAATTTAAACAAAATGTAGTTGTGTGAATAGTTACTTGAAAAACCCTAACCTAAATGTGTCATATGCCATCAACCGGTGTTTTGCTCTGTGCTGTATGCCGAGAAGCTTTCATTAGCTGCAACTGCAATAGAAAACACGCGTATAGGATTTGAGAAGGCCACAAGGTAGAATTGCAACTTAGTATGGGGACAGGCTTAAGAAATAACTTGGAGAATTAGCACAAAAATCAATAAAGCAGAGTGCTTCAATCCCTGCTCATAGCAAGTCCTAGATTGAAAGCTTTGTTCGAAATGATCCGCTTGATGTCCCTTCTGCATGTACAGTGCTACAGCTTTATGGCCTCTGTGAGTGGTCAGTCCCTGCCCTCAGCCTCCAACACCCATGTGGCAGCCCATGCCTTTCTGATGGACTTTCCACATGTAGGAACCTGGCTCTTGTCTGGAGACTGATGGTGCAATACTTAGGAGTCTGCAGTTATTTCTGGAATTACCCTAGGTCCTAAATAATATCCAGCACCAGGGTTTGTGTTTGTTTCACCAAGAAAAAGTACACTTTTTGAGACAAATCCTGTTGTCTCTCACTTCACTGAAGAGAAGAATTGAACATATTTTACCTCATGCTTTTCCTCAAGGTGCAGAGCTACATATTTGAACTGCTAGTAATTTGAAAATGTGGCCTCTTTTCCCCTTATCGCTATGGGTGCCATGGGAGAAATTGGTTAGAAATACAGACAACAAACAATTTATAGGAATATGTTTATAAAAGCGAACTGAAGAACTTTAGAGGGATTTCTCTGTGGCACCTACCTTGCACATGTCTGACAGCCAGTTTTCTTCTCCATTATCTATAAATCCATGTACAATAAATCTGGTTATCCTACTCGCATTAAAATTTGAGTTCTTAATAGTTGAGACGTCAACTGCAGAAACCTCCTGTTGTAGATAGTAAATTGATAAACATTTAAATTTGTTTTTTGTTAATAGTTTATCAGAAATGCCAAGACCTGAACTGTGCTCATCCATACATGTCTAGAAGTTATGCAATGTTAAAAAATTACCCAATTATTTAAAAAATGTGGTTTCCCAGTACTTCTCAGTAGCTTTACAGAAAACATGGGTAAGCGCTTCTTGATGAGGGCTGGAGGGGAATGAGTTCTGCCCCAGAGATTCTGCCAAGGAACTTCCAGCTCAGGTTATCTCTTTAATAAAGTGGAGGTTTGGCCATTTCTAACACTTTCCTTACTCTTTTTGCATGTGATTTACTAATATTTAAACAGCAGTAACTCTTACTTGAAAGACAGTAGGATTTTCTCTTGTGTACAGGATGAAGTGAATGTCTATCTTTTCTGGATTCCAAGGTAACTTATGAATTGGTCTTTCCACAGTCCCGGACCATGGTATATCATCTGAGAAGCATCCAAGCCTTTCATAGCAAACTTCTTTGCCTGTAGCACACAGATCAGATCGATAATATATGAATAAGCAAAGAAGTGGAGCAAGGTAGTCATAACTCATAGCATCTCTTATCTGGACGTCTCTTGGTTTCTTGAAAATCCTATGGTTTACAGAAAGCAGAGACAAGCAGTTGCCCACTCTCAGGTCTTCAAAGGCTATGGTTTACCCCAAGGAAAGAAGCCACCCTATTTCTTACCAACAAAGTATTCAGTGGAGTTCCTTTGTGAGTATTCTGTACCATACCTTGGGTATTTTTCCCCAGCTGTGTTTTGCTGAAGGCAAAGACAGCTGATGAGTTTCTCCTAATACCAAGCCAGGATATTACAAATAACCAGCAGTAACTTGAGACTGTGCTGAACTGCTGACTACACTGTACATGAGAAGTCTTATACCATACAAGCCAGTGGTTTCTGCTGAATATAAAGCTATACCCTCATTAGACTCCCTCCACCTCCCACGCCTGGCTTTTTCTCCATTTCCATCACTAAAGAAGCGTACAAGAAATAATTTCCTGGATTTGGTAGAGCAATAGCTTTGCTCTGAGAGAGAAAACACCACGTTTCTCACACGCTCCTCAGCTGGGATGTCCAGAGTGGAGAAAAGGAAAGACAGCACACGCATACACTCGTCTCCCCATTCTTGTATAGGAAAGTGAACCATATAACCTCCATCAGTGACTTTTAAGGCACTGTAGTGTAGAATAAAATCTCACAAAATACAGTAGCATAGAAAGGCTATATAAATACTAACCCCATATACTTACCCTCTGCTGTGCTGAGCAGAAATAGTGCAAGTATCCAAATTCTAAGCATCTAGAACAGTAGAAAAAGAAGTAACTAGGATTTGCTAACCCGCTTGATTAGCAAGCACACTTAGCTTTCTGATGCCTTAAATGTTCTTGAGGTGAAAAGGGTGCTCTGTCTGTCTTCTCTGCAACGTGTGTCTATGACTGCCACATAGGTGAGACGTGTACGAGTCAGCTCTGTGTTTGTTTGCTCCACTAGAGAATTTGTGCCTTCTACATGTGCTGAAGCACAGTTTAAATCCAGAGTAGGTTAGGGTTTTTTTCTGTTGAGTTTATGCTTCTAATCAGGTATATAGTAGCTACTTTAGAACTAGCATGAGGATGCCTATGTGAGCTGCCGTTCCCCTTTATATTGCTGTGTCTTGGGAAGCCTTATACCTGACGAGGTAAAAGAAAAACCCCAAAACCTGAACTACTTACAATGCAGCCTGGAAGTTCCATGCAATAATGTGCAAACTTTGCATGTACTTTTTATAGTCTGCTTTATCCTTGGAAATGTTCCCAGAGAGATAGGAACATTTATTTCAGATTACAGTTTATAGCTAAGCTGGAAAACAACTTTAATGGTTGGTTTCTCTGAAAACTCTGGAATCCATGGACATAGCTTTCTTGAATTGGTGTGCTGAAGCTCAGAAAAGGATTAGAGCTCCAGAGGCAGATTAATTCCCAGGCAGCAAATAAATCAGGAGTAGGACATCAATGATGTGGATCTGTGTGGCAGTGCATTTAGGGGCTTCTCTTGGCTGGGAAGGCTTTTGTTTTTAGTGTTGTGTAGCTGGGATGCAGGAGGTCTACTGGGGGAGTTAGTAGCGAATGACATTGTCTTTAAGTCACATCAGTTGCCCTATATCAAGTGACTTTGGATGTGGAATGCTCCTGAGCTTCTGGGTCTTCTGTGCCCATTTCCTAACATCAGCTCAATTTGATGTAGCCTCATCTGTTTAGGAAAACCTCTTCGTGGTCGTGGTATGTCTTTTCATGTTGAAGCGATCTGACATTCTCCTGGTGTCCCTTTCATTTTCTTGTTGAAATAAGTAGATGTAGGAGGACAATTGTCTATCTTTTTTGATCCTTTCTACACTACCAATGTAACCCAAGTTTTGAGAAAGTCCTTCTCTGAGTGATCAACTGAGAGAAAACATGCTGGAAATACATACAAATAACATTAAAAATTCCTTCAGATGTTGCAACTTGACTGCTTCATGTAGCGATGTTAGAGAGCTCAGTATTTTTTTTATTATAGCCATCAACGGAAAGGTGAAGAACAGCCTGTGCAAATCAGCAGGACTAGGTCGGGGAGCCCCTTGGTCCTGCTCATCTCTAGGAGAAGGCTGTAAGTGAACTCAAGAAGAAATGAGACATCAGCTAACTCTTCATATAGAAAGCTTTGTCAGCTTGGCTGTGCTTTTTGGCTGTGACCACGCATCTTTGCAGAGCTGACATTCCCTAATCTGTGCCTCTGGGAACCACCAAATGGATACCAGCTGTGTGTACAGTATTACACTGCTATCATCCATGCTACTGGGGTTTATTTCTTTGGATAATAGTGATTATTTTTCTAAAATATCACCTTTGATACTAATTTAAAGCTCAGTGCTCCCATCCTTAATTGAAGTAGCATTTTAGTTTGTAAATATGGTCCTATCAGGGACATAGGAGAGTCAGTACATGCCCTAGTACACTGCTAAGTTTTAATATTTGTTCAAAATGAGAGGAGAACAGTGCTGCCTCATGAGTGTTTGATAGAAACTATCAATGTGGTGGGAAACAGCACTGGTAAAGTACGACTTTACAGTGTTTTAAATGGATTTTAGCATATATGATTTCCAGTTGCCACCATAGTTACAAGCACAATAAACTTGGTTCAATCATGAAGAACATTGACGAGCATGTTTACAAAGAAATGAAAAACATAAAAGAATCAACAGGCAGTTTGATTTTTGCTTTAATGGCCTTGTGTACCAACATTCCCATGCACAGGACTGATCGTTTGCTCAGCTGCTGTGTACACAACAGTCATACGTGGTGACCTCTAGCAAGGTGTAAGTAACTGGGGAACTCCATATGTCACAGTTCCATGGCCACAAAAAGTTGACCTGGAAAGAAAAAAAAAACTTGAATCAAAATTTATTTACCTATTTCCCCCCAAATAAAAATGAAAGGTCACCTTGAGGGTTGTTAGTTCGATCCATAATCCCATGCAAGCCTTCCTAAAAGCCTGCTGTACAGAATATTGACATCTGCATATTAACAGTAACGAGGTGAATTTCCTTCTTTTAGGGATCAGCTGTAAAACTTGAGTTTTCATACATAAACCAAGTTAATATCTAGATACACAAATACAGAGCTCTAGATAAGAAATCAGAAAGCTGTCATGTTGAATTCCCTTTATTTAGGCTGGGTGCTTAACTGATTGCCCCAGTCAAAGCTTTGCAGCATTTTTTAGGAGCTCACACTGAAGGGGATTTCATCAGCTTCTCTAAAGAACCAAACCAATGGCAAACTACAAGGAAGGTTTTTTGTTTGTTTTCTAATCACAGAATCACAGAATATCAGGAGTTGGAAGGGACCTTGAAAGATCACCCAGTCCCACCCCTGCCAGAGCAGGATCACCCAGACCAGGTCACACAGGAACACGTCCAGGCAGGTTTTGAATGTCTCCAGAGAAGTAGACTCCACATCCTCTCTGGGCAGCCTGGTCCAGTGCTCCGTAACCCTTACAGTAAAGAAGTTTTTCCTCATGTTCAGATTGAACCTCCTATGCTCCAGCTTGCTCCCATTGCCCCTTGTCCTGTCATTGGCTGTCACTGGGAAGAGCCTGGCTCCTTCCTCCTGACACTCGCCCTTTACAAATTTATAAACTTGAATGAGGTCACCCCTCAGTCTCCTCTTCTCCAAGCTAAAGAGACCCAGCTCCCTCAGCCGCTCCTCGTAAGGGAGATGCTCCACTCCCTCCATCATCTTTGTGGCTCTGCGCTGGACTCTTTCAAGCAGTTCCTGTCCTTCTTGAACTGAGGGGCCCAGAACTGGACACAATATTCCAGATGTGGTCTCACCAGGGCTAATATATAACCTATATTTATTCTGTTGTAAAATTTATCAGTTAAACCTTGACATAAATCCAGTGGATATGTGCAATAGTTGTTGCTTCAGCTGCTCTGCACAGATCAGGTTTTCTACATTTCTTTTGTTATTTTTCAAAACTTCAGGCTGTGTGCATTGCTCCTGAAGTACACACTCCAAACTTGAAAATGACTCTGCTTCTTATTACAGTCTTATCCCAGTTATTCAAATTAAAATAATTACTCCCTGGATCTTCTATACAATACTCTTGGGAATGAGACTTGCTTTATCTTGGTTTGTAATAGTTTTGTTGTGGCTAAACAGTATACATCCCAAATTATTCACTGCTATATTCCTTTTCCAGACAGTTATTCCCTGGTTTGTACTTGAACACTTGATTTTCTGTCCAAAGTGCAGTATCTTATCCTTGTTGTTACTGAAATTCACACTGTTGATTGCAAACCATATGTCCAATTAATTAGGACCGTTATTCAATCCTGTCTCCCAGAGTTTTTACACTCCTTTCTCATTCCTTCTGACCTGTAAAAGGGATATACTTACCTATGTCCATCTTCTCCATGAATTATATGGACTGTTTCTACTCCCAGTCTTGCCCAGAGCAGAGTAAATGCGGTTTTATTCCAGAGAAATTCAATTGCTTTAGTATTTTCTGGGTTAATTTCAACATCAAGGTATTTTGAGTACAGTTGGTTTTGAGAGAGGACTCCACTGCAAATAGAATGAAGATAGCAATGCTAAATTTATTAGCTTAGAGATAACTGAAATCACATTCTCCACAAGATTTGGCATTTTCACTTTGTTACAACAGAAATTTGCACTTTTGCTGCTCTTTGCAACAGCACAGGACGGTGAGCCAGGACTCTGGGGTGTTATGCTCTGAACAGGGAGAGGGTCAAAATCAATACTGAAAACTTTAGATGTGCTTTTGGCAGAAGACCACCAGGAGATGCAAAGGGTGAGGCCAGAGCTGCCCCCAGCAGCCAAATGTGCTGAGTTTTGCAGATACTGCTGCAGGGATAGCTCCAGGTGAGGTTTTTTGGGAGGATTTTATAGATGAGCTGGGATCTTCTGTGGGGCTTTGGTCTGCATGTGCACAGGGGATGGTGGGAGAAGGTGTGGAAATGCTTGTTTTGGAGCGGGTACAGAAGACCATGGGCACTGCTGGTTTGGTAGTCAGTGGGAGATGATATGAGCTGTGAGGGAAGCTCACTGTCCAGACCATATAAATATTCCATTTATATAGCTGTGGTGGCTTTTAGTATGTCCTAAGGAGGAAGTATCCACTTTGCAAATTTGCCAAGCCACATAATTCATGGAAATAAAGTGACTTCCATTTCCTTCTTGCAACCATCCATCTGCCCTCATGGGTCTTATCTGTGGGATAACTTTTGTTCGTATCTGATGTGAAGCAGAACATCTGCAACACAGAATAAGTGTTTGCACTGCCTAAATATGTGGAAAATGTCCAGATTAGAGTTAGCAACATTAAATGCTATAGGGAAACATTAATTTATCTTACCTGGCAATTTCATATTCTTTTGTGTTCCCCTCTGTGTCACGGAAAACCAGGTTTATGTCCCCCCTCGTTTTCTTTACACCAGACAGTCTGAGAAATACTTTTCGTCTCCAAGCTGCATAAAGCAAAGCAAAATAAAACTAGATTGTTAGTGATAAGAGAGATCTGAAAATGCTACTGTACTGGAAAGTTCTCTTTTTCCTAACTGGAATTCATTCATGTTAGCAAATGAAAGACTGAGCTTGAATTTTGATGACTAATGTAGCACTTTTTTGTCAGAGATGTTAGCACTTGCTTATAGAAGCAACAAAAGTGCATGGCTGTAAAGGCAAGGCAATCACTTTTCAAACATATGATCAACTCTAACAAACCTCCTCCACTTACTAGTAAAAGGTGGCTCTGCTGCTGTATTTAAAAAATACTTTTGGTTTACCCTCTTCAGTTTATCTGGGAATCTGTCAGCATAGTGCCCCATCATTGGACATTCTTCTGGGGTACATGGGAAGCAGTCTCCCTAGGGAAAATAAGAGCATCAATTAATGAGGAGTATTTCTTTTTTCAACCTAGCTCTGGCAAAATTAAAGCTCAAAATGCTGTTCTGATCTTGCAAAGCTGTGGCAGTGCTCTGTGTTGTCATATTTTACCACCAAAACCTGATAAACTTGTTTCAGATAAAAGGTTCTGCACCCATGCATAGCAAGCAGTTGTGGAATGAGCAGGGTTAATACCTGTGCGGATGATGATATGAAACTCCCCAGTTCAAATATTTTTCACCTAGAGTCTGGGACAAAATATAAACCAATTTTACCCTCTCAGTGGGAGGGAACTTGCCTGCATCTGCTTTGAAATATGAAGGGGGAAAAAAGGAACATCATTCACAAGTGCATTTATTTAGGTGCTCTAATCAGTGCCCAGTGTAAATTAGAGAAGAGTTAATGATTTTGGAAGCTCCAAATGTCTCTTCTTCCAGTCAGGAATTAGTAGAGTAGATAAATCTAAACTATGTGCCCTTTACGTAAAAGTTTAGATTGGGAATTGCAAGGATTTTATTTTTTTTTCCTATTTGGTGGTATCATCTGTGCTTCAGGATTCATTTTCCAGAGTGGAACAGTTGATGGAGCCACTGTGTCTTTTCTCCTACCAAACCATACCATGGGAGCACAGCCACCAGCATCCAAGTGCTCTGTGCACATAGTAGGACCCGTCGTGACTGCAGAGACCTGGATTATTCTCTTTACAGCTCACCCGTTCCCGGGCTGATGAACTTACTTCCTGAAAGGATTTGTACGTTTTGCAGGGGTATCCAAGGTATCCGGTGGGATGGAGGATACTTTGAAAATAATACTCATGGCTGCGTGAGTGATGGCACCCCCCAATGAATGTAGCATCTGTTGGAACAAAGTTTATGAGCATCCGTGAAATAAACTCCTGTTCTCCTGTACTAGAGTTGCCCTTGCCTCACCATGGAAACAGCTGAGGCATGGAAGAGAAGAGCAGCGTGATCTTGTAATTGTTTTTCATCTGAATTTACACATTTCAAGTTGCAGTAGAAGTTACTGTTTTATCTGGAGAACTGTGTGCCGGTTACCCCAGGGTTTTAGGTGAGATGCATTGGTCTGCTATGGCATAATAGTCCCTTTTAATACAGACATGTATGTATACATATATATGAGATGTCACAGCAAGATGACATTAATTACAGTTTTAAAAGGCTTAATAGAGCAAGAAGAATCCACCAGACTTCTCCCAACCTCTCCAAGGCCTGTGAAGAGAGAGAAGTCCCAGGTGGTGAGATGAGGCATGTACAGTCCCTAAAACACAATGCTTTTGCCCAATTCATGCCTTATGGGTGTTGGATGCTCTTTGCAGCATCTGCAAGAAACCAAAGGTGGTGGTGTCAAGCCACAGGTTTGGTCATGATACTGACCTGTCTCAGCCTGGAAAACCTCCCGCTGGGCTCATTGGACTTGGAAACTCCCTGTCCCCTGCTTGGTCATGTTTTGCAGGTCCATTTTCATATTACAGAAGCACAGCTTAGGCCTGCATTATACCTCCTTGCCCTACAGCGTTCCCTGGGGAGCGCTATTCTGATCCAGCCTTTATTATTTCTTATTTCCTTTTCTAATTTATGAGTAAATAGGCAAAACTCAACTTTGTCTTGCTGTTTACTCCCAAACGGACAGTTACTTTCACAGTTCACATTTCAGGATTGAATCAAAATAAATTACGATGCATGTTGGGAATGCATTTTTTACCTGCAATGACAGCTTCAAAGTCACTTGGTTTCATCTCTGGATTTAAATCAGTGCATCCAGGCATTACAGTTCCTCCGTTTGGGTAAAAGTCCAGGTGCCCAGTGGTGTTGTACATTCCAAACCCTGAGATACGCATGTGGTGGTGTCAGTGTCTTGGTGACATACCCATCCTTGCAGATATTTACTTGCACAGGAACACTTACCAAAGGCAGGAAAGTGAGCAGCATTACTGTGAATAATATCAACAAAGTTTCCATCTGAAGGATCCAGTCTCACCTCAGGAGGAGTACCTTCAAAATAGGGTCCAGCAGGGTCCAAGCCTAAAGAAGCCCCACATTTATAGGTCAAGGGAAGGAGAGAAACATTGCACTTGTTAATATGTCTTCTGCCAACTTACAACATAGCATTACACGAGGCATGTTGAATAACAATGATGTGAATTCTAAGCTAAATTGAAAAAATGTGCAATAATATGGTTTTGTGAACCTTTCTGCAAACTTATTCCAACAGAAGTAAAATATTTTCTAACAGACTGTATAATGCCATCGCATTACTATGAAGGAGGCATTTTATTACCTCTGAGCTTATTACTGACCTGTAAAGCTTTACTAATAGGAAAACCTAAGGATTCCTGGTATATTGCTTTGCATTTGTGCAGGGCTTGATGTAATCCCATGAATGATAGTAATGTTACATACATATTAACTGTTGATCCTTCCACTAGAGAGTTTTTAACCTAACTAGAGAAAGAAGATGTAATAATTACCCTTATTTCTGTAAGCATAAAGTTGTTTTTATGCAAGGTGTCTCCAGCACTGCCAACAATTTAACTGCAGTCTACAGACCAGTGTGTTGCAAGTTTCTTTCCTTTAGAAACATGCTGTTAGCTCTGTACCTCGGTGAACAGCCTACCTGTTATCCGTCTGATGTCTTGGATCCTTCTTCCCGCCTCTCCTGCAGTGTGCGCTCCCAGACTGTGGCCAATTAAGTGGATTTTGCGAGGGGAGTAGCTGAACATTTTCTGATTGTTAAAGTGATGGTGGTGGTGGGAGACAAGAACACAGGCTTTAAATAGCAAGCAAAGAGGTTGTCTTACATTATGGGCCTTTGGGAACATCTAGCCTGACTTCCTGCATAGCTAACAGGGTGTGAGTTATCTAAATTAATTATTGTTTAAATGACAATGACTTGATTAGAAAATTATTCAATCTAGAATTTTAAATGCCAAGTGATGATGGATTCACTGTACTGTTGGCATCTGGTTACCATATTCAGTTACACTTAGTGACAAAATATGAACCTACTTTCTCATTTGGGTCAACCCCAGATTTCATCTTTCACCAAAGTGATCTTATTTTTTCTTTATTTACTCTATTATGAAGCCCTTTTTTATCACGTCTGTTCACCATGTGTCTGCTTAGAATATATGATCATATTGCTCAATGGGCCAGCATTTATTCTCCTCTTTGCCGTGTCACCTGTACAAGACCTGCACTGCTGAGATATTACAAATGAGTTGAAGGTGGAAATGGAGATTAATCAGCATCTAGGCTGCGTGCAGGGGTCCCATTTCATCCAGGGATTAGCTGGTGTTTTTAGTGACCAAGGACAATAAGGATTGGTTGTTTATTGCTTGATGTTTTTACATTAAGTTTGGTTTTGTTTTGTAATGCATCAGCCAAACTAAAAGCAGATCTGTAGTATCAGCCTGTCTACCTTTCTTGTTAGTCAGCAGATTCTTCTGAATGCATTTTACTGTGGTACTTCCATTTAAAACGCAGCTTAACTTTTCCTAAAGACATTCCAGGAGCTTATAATTTGAGGGAAAAGAAAATAAAGTTTCAGGGTAATTTATGCATTTTTGTAACAAAAGCAAGAGAGGTCTAGACTGGGAATGGTGCAGTAATAGAGATAATAAATGAGAAAACGAATCCATCTTCAAGCAACCTGGGATTTGTACACAAAGAAGAAAGATACAGAAGCAAATGTGTGAGGTTGGATATAAGTTTCCTGGGTAGAAACAGTAGATTGAACTCCAGCAGATTCTTGGGAAGTGTTCTTTGATACTCAGGTGCTTGCAAAGTTGACATTTTGCCTTGTGGGCTCTGAACTCTCTCTTGCAGCACTTTAAAATGAACCCCTACTGACCAGGATCAAGGCTGTAGCCGGGCAGGGTTCTGATTTTCAGCACTTCTAAGTACTTGTGAGTCTTTCTGAAGTCCGCAGGAAATGCTGATACTCTTAAACACTAACCGAGCAGTTGTGCACTGTAGGTGCAAATATGAACACTTGCCTTCAGGAACATGAAGTTCAGAACTAGAACAGTTTATTGTGCCTGTAGACAGTAAATATGGCATTCTAGAGTGAACCAATTCCTGCTCGTTTCAGTGGTGCTGAGATTTTAATTTACTTCTAGCATATGTGTGTAATGCTGGCAGAACTCTTGTTAGCACTGAACTCATAGGCCTCGTCTCATTTCCTTTGAATAACGTCTTGCCGCTATCATCGCGTGGAAATGTTGCCACCTACTGGTCTTTAACTAATTGGCATCTCTTTTCAACCACATTAGCTTAATTTGCGTCTTTTGTGGCTGTGAGAAGTCCTTACAGAGTTGATAATTAGTATAATTAGCTGGATCTCAACTGCATGCGTTGGACAGCTCTTCCTGAAGCACTGGCTGACTATACTGGACAAGCTTCCAAATCAGAGCAGCAGCAGCACAACCCCACTACAACCACTGAAGAATCGTAGGTGGTAAAGCTGTGTCTTTTACCTGTAAAATTTTGATGAAATAAGCAATCTCAGCCCCAATCACACGGATGTTGTTCACTGCACTGACGTAGGTGCCTTTTGCACCATCTTTCCAATCGACAGCAATGCAGTTGATATTTTCCACTTCCAGTAATGCCTGATGTGGGAACACGTAAAGGAAAGTATTTAAGGAAACAAAATAACAGCAATTCAACTTAAATCAGAATAAACTTTAAAAGGTAATACAATAATGGCATTTCTCATTCTTTACTAAACAGTACTTTTCACTATACATGCATGAAACATGCATCTTCCTACAAAACAGATTATAACAAGCCATTCATCCAAAAAGTATTAATTACAAAAGATCTTAATAAAGACCTTACTTTATAAGCCATTTGTGTACATATCTGAAACAATTTGGAAAAGCCACACAGCTGCACAGTAATTTCTATGTGCAGTATGTGAGTTTCCTTGAGGGACGTTGGTAGTTTAACTGAATAGGATAGGAAGTAGACTTATTTACCATGTGCCTGTAAAACTGAGAAAGTCATAGCAGACTGGAAAGGTCTGGAGTAGAGTAGAAAGTTCCTATTTCAGCAAAGAAAGCTAATGCATTGGTCACTTCTGTACTGGTCACAGTCTTGCAGAGATCAGTGATTTTTCTACTGGAAGAATCATGGGTTAGAGTCTGAAGTTGTAGCTTTTTGTGACTAAGGCTCACTTAAGGTTTGAGAAGGAACAAGGAGTGGAAACAAAAATTCATTCATGATAAACAGCTGGACATGAATGACAAGGAAAACAACCTTGGAGCGACAGTGCATTGAATCCTGGACTCCCTCCTCTCCTGTAGACACTGAAAGTTTGTAGTGTGGAGAGGCAGACAGAATTGCTGTTTCTTGTCAACAACAACAAAAAATAATGGAAATTTAATATTCTATATTAAAAGTTGTCATAAATTTATGAACAAAAATAATGCTGCAGATCTGTTACTTAGCATTCAGCACTGGTCTTTCTCTAGCTTGTCCTTTTCACTACCAGCACGAAAGAAGCAGAGACTAGAGTAGATTTTGCTTATCCATCAGAGGCGAACCAACCAAAAAGGGCTGGTTTTGATGGGGGCTTTTTTTTTGTTGTTTTGTTTTGGGTGTCTTTTGTTAGGTTTTTGTATTGTTTTGTTTTGTTTTAGAACTGAGTAGTGGTGAGCCAAAATAGTATTTGTAGACTGAAACTTGAGCTTTACAACTCAGGAAGGCCTTTTGACTGAAGGAAAGTTCAATTGCTCCTACGGGTGAAGCAGTGAATTGATGTGTCTAATTTGATATTCTGATACCAGTGCAGAGGTCAGGGACATCTGTGTTCAGTTTATTGCTTTCATCTGATCTGTAGGGCTTGGGAGTGGGAACTCTAGAGAGGAGCATAATGTCAGAGATAACAAAGAAGCCTTGACTGCTGCATCTTAGAGTGGGATCATTTTGGCTTTTGTGAAGTTTACTTCTTGGTTGGTATCTTCTACTACCTAATGAATTACAAAATGGGAAGTGAACATTAGCAGCTAAAGGATACTGACAGATTATAGTTACAACTGCTGATGGAAATCAGAGGATACTCTCATACCAAGCACATTTCTTCCACCCAGCCATTTTTTGCAGTGCTGCTAAATCCATGAGTGATGAAGGACGTGTTCCGACGTGGGGAAAAACGTGATTTTGGGATGGTTGAAGAGTTTATCGCTGAGATCACCTGTGTGCAAAAATAAATAAATAAATAAATAAATAAAAATCAGTTAGGTCATCCTCTCTGTAGGACTCAAGGGACTACTTTGAATGGACAAAATCTGATTTTTGGAACTTGGGGACCACTCTATCTTGCCTTTCTTTGTTCCACTGTGGTTTCCAAAGAAGTTGTGCCTATATGGTTTCTGTTGCTCCATTTTTTTTTTTGTTTGATGCAGGAAGAATTCACTTATGTGGAATATGAAGCAACCTAGAAGGGCTGCAGTGTTGCTTGATGCCTGTTGGCCTGACTTAGAATGAATCATAGAATGTCTTGGGTTGGAAGGGACCTTTAAAGCTCATCCAGTCCAACTCCTGCAGTGAGCAGGGACATTGGTACCAGATCAGGTTGCTCACAGCCCCATCAAACCTGACCTTGAATATCTCCAGGGATGGGGCCTCCACCACCTCTCTGGGCAACCTGTGCCGGTGATCTACCACCCTCATGGTGAAGAACTTTTTCCTAATATCCAATCTAAATCTCCCCTTTTCTAGTTTACAACCATTACCCCTCGTCCTATCGCTATATGCCCTAGTGAACAGCTCTTCCCCAGATTTCTTATAGGCGCCTTTCAGGTATTGGAAGGTCGCTATATGGTCCCCCCAGAGCCTTCTCTTCTCCAGGCTGAACAATCCCAACTCTCTCATCCTATCTTTGTAGGAAAGGTGCTCCAGCCCTTTGATCGTCTTTGTGGACTTGGATGAGTTCTTCCAGAAAGCAGAAGGAACACGAAGTTCAGGTCTTTTTCCTGAGTAGGTGATGTTTCTATGCCTGTTTTTGTCATTAGGTATTCCAGAAAGGCTGAAAGAATTTTGTGCAAGAGCTTCAAGCAGTAGGGGTGAAGCTGATCTTCACACATTGCTGCAAGCTGCTTAATTACCTATTTTCCTTTTTCTCTGAGAATGATATCTATCTGTATTGTTTTCAGAAAAGTACAGGGTCTGTGATGTGAGCTCAGAGAGTTTGGGTGTGGCAGGGCTGTGCACTAGGTCATAGATAAATTTAAGCCAGTGCCTGGGAGTAGTGCAAGCTGCATTTTGACTGATCAACAGAAGTGCTGAGTAAGCTTCTGCTAAATCTCTCTTGTGTGCTTACATGTCCCTGCTCAGCAGATCATAAAAGTCACTATACCCTCCTAGCTCAGCTTCCCTGTAAGACAGCGGCGTTTGCTCTCCTAGCTGAACACTCAGAAGGCTGTTTATTTATTTGAATGAATCCTCAACTTTCCTCAGTGATGTAAATGCATGCAAAAGATAGTCTGCCATAACCCATATCCATGTGCAGGAAAATGCCAGGAAAGCTGTTGTGTCCTACAGTTAATTCGCAACATTTTTATTCATGATTTACCCCAAAGTACATTCATTACTGTGCCTTCAGACTCTTCTTATGCTGAATTTCTTGCCTATGATGACTGGCATAGACTTTTTAACAAGCTAGCAAACATTTGTAGGTTTAGTCAGTTCTTGATGTGAAAAATAAATGTCACCTGTGAGTTATTTCCTGTTTCTCTGGTGTAGAGAGAGAAGCTGATGTTCATGTGTTCTGGAGAGTCAGGCAAACCTGTCAGAAGTCTTCCTGGTACCCCAGACCAGGGTGGGTCATCTGTAAAGCAGCCAAGCCTGTCATAGCAAACTTCTTTACCTAAAGAGGAAGAAACAACTTGTTTATATGTCAGACTTTCTTATGCTTGATGATATGTTTGAGACTACCACAATCTGAAGAGCAGAAAAGTAAGGATTTCATTTTATGATTAATCTCAAAACTGAGATTAAGTTTTGTTTCCTCTATGGATATTGCCTGAAGCAGGTAACACAAAAGGAGCTAAATAATTTGAGGCTAAACCAAGTAAAGATCCAGTTGCTGTTTTGACACCATTTTCTAGGCTTGTAAAGGATTAAATCAATCTCTTTTAAAAACAGCCTTTTAAGAAGTGCTTGTTAGAGTTGTTCCTGCATGCTTCCTACTCCAAAGCATTGTGTGGCTGCTCATAGAAATGAAGGCTATCTACACAGTAACCTTGTACTGCGAATGAAATGATAATTTCTTTCAACATAGTAGCTTTTTCTAGTTCAGACAGGTCTCTTGCTCACTTATGCTCAACTTTCATGTTTCAGCACTTTGTGTTGTGCTAAGCACTCTGTTGCTGAGCGGTTCTTTGTATACGGCAGTCACGTAAAGACAGCTTGTGTACTGTCTTGATAGAAGTAGGGCACGTGACTGAATTTCTCTGTGAATTTTCAGCACGGAGTTATGCCTCTTGTATTCTTACTAATCAAATTTAAACAGAGCAGAGCCTTTTAGCATTAGTTCTACGCACAATAATAGACATTGTCATACAATGACCTGCAAATCGTACTACAACTTCAATGTAAAGGAAAATAGCAGTCATCATCTCCTATATATTATTTGGTCTGCATTCACCTTCTAGCAGTATTTTTTTTATAGAGATAAGATCTCACCTGCTACTGTGTCCAGGAGATAAAATGCAGTAATCCATATTCCAACCACCTAAAGCAAATTGAATATACAGGTTAAGCATTTTACTTAGAGTGATTTGTCCTTTTCAAAAGAGTGTAATACAAAGAGAAATGCAAAGACCTACACCTGAAGAGGAATAACCTCATACACTGGTCAATATACACTGGGCACCCATCAGCCTAAAATTAACTTTGCAGAAAGAGACCTGAGGGTCCTTGTGGATGCAAATTGATCATAAGCCAGCAACATGCCCTTGCAGCAAAGGCAGCCAGTAGTATCCTGGGCTGCATCAGAAGGAGCGTTGCCAGCAGGATGAGGGAGGTGATCCTTCCCCTCCTCTCAGTTTTGCTCTTCATTGCATTTCTTGCTCTGCATGCAGGTTGCTGAGAGAGCAAATCATATCACAAAGTCCTGATTTTTGCAAGCTGGAAGGAGATAGGTGGGAGCTTATCGCTCTCTACAACTACCTGAAAGGAGGTTGTAGTGAGGTGGGTGTCAATCACTTCTGCAAAGTAACAAGTGATAGGACAAGAGGAAATGGTGCAGCAGGGGAGGTTTAGATTGGATATTAGGATATTTTTTTTTACTGAAAGGATCCCTGACTTCATTCAGATTCCTTTCCTCTACATTTTCCTTACTTGGCTTTCCCATGGCAGGAGTTCAATATATTTCATCACTTTCCTCCTCTCCCACGTGCGTCATTCACTGTTTTCAATTTCCTTTTCTTCTAGGTGTTTCTTATGGCACCCATCTCCCATATTGAACACACTGCTTTTCTTATAAGGCAAAAATTTTGACCTGTCACTGCTGGCCACTGAGATAGCTTATTAGAAGTAATTTTAAAAAAAAACGTAAATTTAATAGATATAGTCTTGCTATGTGGGAAACTGTCTCCAAGAGTTATTTTTGGAAATGTGTCAATGTGAGAAAGCTATAAAACCAATATCCCAGAGGTCATTGACACTACCAAATGCTCTCAGGAATGAACAAGAAATAATTGGGAATTTCACAGAATACATCCTTGAATCTTGTGTGTCAGATGTCAGACAGGAGCATATGTGATCCATGTATGTGATATTTTTTGGTGGAAGTTGGATTACTCTGCTGTAATGACATGGTTTCCTGAGCAAGCCAAATGGGATGTCAGTGCAGAGTGTGTCTCTGAGCACTCTTTAATCAACCCTGATGTCCCTGTGTGGCAATAGCTTGTTGTTTATGTGGCAGGGCAGAGGAGCAAAGCTGAATATCTAAGCAGTGAGCTGGAGCCGCAAAGTGCAGAGCCGAGAGGAATCATGAAATTTCCTTGGAAAGACAATTCTGTTCCCAAGTCTAATATAGCCATTTATGTAGTTAACAGAGAAGAAAACTAGCTGCTTGAGGAGAGTGGAGAACAGAGAGGAAGTCCGGCAGTGAGCAACAGGGAAAAGTATCAGGAGTTATTCTAAGCAGCTGGTGACACAAGAAAGGAGAGGTCCTCACAGCCAAAAGGAGCACTTGCACTCAGCTGGAATATCTGTCAAGAAATACCCATTGTCATGATGAGAACCTGATGACAGTACATAAAAATCACAGAAGATATGGCTCATCAAGTGAATTCGATAGCTCAGTGGCATTTGTTTATATTTGATGGAGAGCTTTCGTATTCAGGAGATGTGCGGTCCATGCTGGGAACACTACTGCAGGAAAGGATATTATATTCCTTTTCAAACCCAAAATCCGAAAGGCAGCTAATGAGCAATGATTTTAGAAAATGTGGGAGTTTGTTGGCAAATACAAGGCAATATTGATTCATTCTGTTATTAACAGAGGTGTAGTTTGGGTAGCAAACAATTTTTTTAGTGGGTACATTTTCTATATTGGTCCAAGTTAACTTAATGACCAAAAGATTGCAAAGAAGTTCAGAAATTATGTCTTTGTAGGAAGAGTTGAGGCAGCATACAATTTGATGGGGCAAAATTCTTTCACTGGGCATTTAAGAGGCCTAATGCTCAACAGGAGCAACTGGAATGACTTGTTTGTGACTGATCTTGGCCTAGCCAGTATTGCTGGCAAGAAGGCTGCTGAACAATCAGCTCAGTTGTTATACTCAGTGGACAGAGGACATGAATTCTGAAGCAAAAGCAGCACTAAATATTTCCAAATCACTGTTCTGATCAGAAAAAGAAAGTACAAATTGCACATATTCATAGACTGACATCCTACTGTGTAAAACCTACACAGGAGCAGTAGTTGTCCTTCACAATAGGGGCCATCAAGTCGCCTTCTAGACACTGTTGCTCAACCTGTGATTCATGGGCCAGTTGTGGATGGTTTGTGAGATACAAGAAAGTCTGCATAACAACTGTCAACACTCTATTTTTAAGTCCCACACAGGTACCCCCACACCTTCCTCAGGAAATGTACACAAATATAAACACACATAGAGTTTGTTCATGAGATGCAAGCCCAAATCTCGGAGGTTTTAATTATCAGCATTTTAAGCTGAATAATCTCACTGCAGTAAATATGTACATATATTTTAATTTTAAACAAGATATTATTTATCTAAACCCTAAGAATTTTACTCACCATTCTCTTATGACCCTTCTCCTCGTGACCAGTAACAGGATACAAAATGGCCACAGTGTTTTTGATGAAGATTAGGTAACTTTATTCTGGAAAAAAAAGTAATAGAAAAGAGATTAAAATCCTTCAGGCAGCTTGGTAAACTGAAAGAAACTGGAAGAATACAAGAAGACCGAAAAAGGGAATATTATTAACTGGGAATTAATAGCTAGAAGTCACACAGCTTTCATAAGGAAAATGGCAATGCTGATGTGTACATTTATGGCTAGTAGAATTAAGACATGAATTAAAGAGTATTTCATGCATGGAAGAATTAAAAAGATGCAGTGGTCTTGGTTCATTACTAATTAAAATGGTAATGATCAGCTGAAGTGAAATGTTTGCACTTCTCTTTTTTTCTCTTTACCAAAACCAACTGATGTCCACACCAGAAAAGAAGTATTCAGGGTGATACTCTGTTCAGACAATAATTCTAGATCTGCCGTAGAGCAGCTGCTGGAACTACGTATTTTAAAGTAATTTGACTTTGGTAACTCATAGCTGAGATTCTTAAAAAAATAAAATGCTATTAAAAAACCCCAACCTATTAACATTTTTTTGTTAAGTTACTGATTAGTAAGAAAATTCCAGAGATGTGGTTTGAAGAAAACTGATATACTAAGAGCTAAAAAAAATAGAATGAATGACCTAAGGAATGTCAGACCTGTGGAGTTTCAATCCAATATCAGCCTGAGACAGAATAATGAAACTCTCCACAGGAGAGTTTACTGCCATGAAAATAACCAGTGAAAAACTGTTAAAAGATTAGCTTGTTTAATTGAATTCAGTTACATGACATGACAAACATGACACTCTTATAAGATCAACATTGTAAGTTTCATGGTACTTGGATTTTAATAAGATCTGCTCTGCCACTTGATATTTTCGTTAGGAAATTAAAATTATATATGTGCACTGTTATGATAGTTAAGGAGATTAAAATTAATTGCTTGGATTAAGTAGATTAAAAATTGAGTAATTATTGCATCTCAAACTATAATGGCAGAGAACTAGAATCCTGGATTTACAAACACGGTTCTTGCTGCTGTACATCATCGCATCACATCACGATCAAGCTGGGATGATTTTTTTTTTAGCTCTGTTTTTTGACCGTATAGATAGTGCTGAGGATTGCTCATCACTGATTAGGGTTTAGAGGAATCAGTTCCTGACATTACACTGCATGCCAGCTTTCAACACTGGTATTGCTGGACATGAGCTCATACTGAAAAAATACTGACATCTAGACTAAGGGGTTAGTAAATCAAAAGCACAGGTCATGAATGTTGTATAATTTGTCATTGTTTGGGAAAGTAAAGGCTGTCACACTGCATATCATACAGAACAGAGGTGAGCATTGGAGGCAGCAGTAACTGAAAAGGCCTTTGAAGTCTTGCTAATGTATTACTAGGGACTTTTCAAGTGTCAAGGGATTTGTCAGTCTTTGTTTCTACATATACAGTCAGGAGAAGAGTATTTTCAGTATGTATATTGTATTCAATATATAGATGGGGATTTATTTAAAGAGTACAGAGGTTTAATTGGTACTGAATGCACAGTTTAAGAGGGATATTCAGAAAATGAAGAAGGTTGAGGAAAGTCTTCTTGGATCATCATAATAATGGAAAAGAGGGAATGCAGAGCAAGAAGTGAAGAGAGGACTTTCTAGACAAGGAGTACAAAGACTCAGAGTATAAATGGTTGTTCCTCAAAGATATAACCTGAGACCAGAAGGGGAGCAGTAATACTTAAAGCAGTAGTGGTGGAACAAGAACTAGCCATGGAAAAATGAAGTCCAGCGTGTTCTCCTGAAGTAGCCATCCAGCTGGAGTCACAGGGCAAGAAACATAGCTAGTTTTAAGATGGAGTTTTATCACATTTTAATGTGACAGTGAGCAGTGGCATGGACAAGGGTCTATAACCTAGACTGTGCTTTCCAATTCATCCTGTGTTTCAAAAAGGCCAGATGGGAAGGTGAAGGGTGTCCGCAGCAGCCTATGCTGAGGTGGGGAACAGCCTTTGTTAACATCATTATGTTCAAAGCAAGCAGTGGTAGAGCAGGAACAGCTCCTTCTGCAATAACAATCTGCAGTGCTAGCTTGTTTTCATCTGTCAGCAAAGCTAAGCATGGCTTCTTCTGTCCCTTCAGTCTTATGCAGTCTTTCCAGTTTTCAGGTCTGCTTTTTCCCCCTTGAGTACTGAACTTAAGTTCTTTACCTTCTTTTAGGTCTTTTTAATTTTCATCATTTATGGTTTTTTTTATTCCTATCTTTTTCCTTACCACTCCAACCATACTTCCTATATTTCCTGCACTGGCACTGTCCTTAAACAGAGAATATTTTTGTTAGTTCTGTCTTTCCAGTGTTTTCTTTTAGCCTTTTGTATTTTGTCAGTAGTTTGGCACAGTGCTCAGTTAACAGTGTAAAGGTGACACAAAAAAGGAGCCATCCAAAACCTTGGATGTAGAAGTTATAGGTTAAATTTCCTGTTCTCTCAGCAAATTATTGCATGGCTTGAGTCTGAGGAATTTAGCTAACACTTGCTAATTGCACACCCAAGCATTGTAACAGTACCCAAAATGGTAAAAGAAACTATGGAAAGAAGAAGATTTTAATAGTATCTTTAGGCTTCATAAAGAGGATCATCTATGTATTTACTCATATGCAAATACCTTAAAATACACCATAATATATTTTTTTCTGTTTTATTTGAATGTAATTTAGTTGTTATGCCCTTTCTTTACAAGTATACAGAGAATACCATGGCACAGTATTTTCAAGGCACAGTCTCCGTTTGGTAGCTCGGATATTATATTTGTCCAGATAACCAAATACTGAAGACTGGTGCGCACAGTACTGGACAGTGTTGGTGAGATGGTTTACTAATTCAGGTAGCAGAGTAATTGGCATAATTGATAAAAGACTTCAGTTTCTCCCCATAAATAGTCCATAGTAGAGTCTGGATTCCAGATGAAGGCTCATTGACACTTATTCAACACAAATGAGTAATAATAAGTAAAGGAGCCAGTGTCTTTTCCTGCTGGCTCATCAGCTTTTAGGTACAGTGAAGTTCTCCAGGACCAAACCAGTCTTGATTGAATAGCTCTGAAACCCACTAATTTAACATAAGATACATAAATTTTGTAGTGATGCAAAGATGTTCAGGACCTTTTGTAGATTTCTTTCCACCAAACCACCCAATACGAAGTAATAACCAAGGCAAGGCAGGGCTCACATGTGTTATCTGGTCTGGGTAATAGAGTTTTCTGAGTGTCCACTGACCCTTAAACTGAATCTGAAACAGTAGACTAGGACATTCACCTGAAATAATGACTCAGCATAGTGATGCAAGTTATTTTCTTGAGACACTTAATGTGGGTAAGCACTTCAATAAAAGGTTAATAAGTATGCAAAGTTGTACCTATTTGTACATGTGTTCATCATTAAAGAATGCAGTAAGATTTAGGTTTTTAAACTGTTTAGGTCTGTTGCTTAGAAATGGTGAAAAACCTAAAGAAATTGTGGGATAATAGTAAAGAAAACCCATTAAACAACAAGCCCTTGGCTTCGCACTTCAGTACTTTGTGCAGTGGCTACTCCGATTTCCTAAATAATAGGGTTCTCACCTTGATCCTAAACTGGTATTCATACCTTTAAGCTTACAGAGACAATTATGATCATTTAATCTGACTACTGACATCATAACAAAACAAAAACAAAACAACTAACAAACATGATTCAGTTTTGGGCAGTGCTGATCCAACTAGGGAGCCTGCAGCTGACTTGTAGCCACCATCTGGCCACTCCTCTGTCTTTCCAGGAGGACTGTTCCTCTTCATGAGTAGGCTACAGTTAAATTTAGTCGACTCTAAGACCAGCACTATTTGCCTTTTGCCATTTCTGAAGTGCAGAATAACTTCTAAGCTTGCTGATATTCAAGTTTCTCTCTATATGATAGTCTACAAAAAACCATCCTGCTTGCCACATTCTTCCACATAATAGCTCTATAATTCTTCCCCACATCAATCCTCCATTTAAATTTGCAGTGCTCCTAATAATGCTGAGTTATGTAGATTAATTGATGTCCTTTTTTCCTTTCAGTTGTTATTTATGTTCTCATGCATTGTCCCTTAAAAAAAAAAGTCCAGATTCCATGTGCAAATACATTAATTTTAATCTTCCCTTTAAAACATAGGGATGTATTCAGTCTTAAATTACCTTAGCCCCACTGAATCCACCTTGTTCTCCTAGCTGCATTACATTATCACAGCCCAGAACTTCTTCTAGGATTTCCTGGAATTGAAAAGTTTTAAGCTTGAAGCTGCTGCCAGGATCTCCTCAGGATCACTGAGTGCTGCTGTTTGCTTGTCACCTGCTGTTCAGACCTTCTATTTTTTATTACACAGAACTCCTTACAGTCCTCCAGCCCCAACCAGCAGTTAGTAAGGACACTTGCCCAAAATCCCCACCAAGTTTTTAGCCACTTACCACCCCAGATGCAGAAAGGGTTGCTGCTTTGCAAGCTCCGTTCAGCCAGCTCCCTGTCAAATCCTGGTTGCTACAGGCTCTTTTGACTTGGAATCAGTCCCACGACGGTGGGTGCGGACCTGCCCACATGGTGTCTAATTATAGGCTTCGTGTGGGTGAGT